CTATAATACTCTGAAGGAAAAGCTTGAGGACATTGGATTTGGCAATGATTGGCTATGACACCAAAAGCATGGGCAATACAAGCAGAATAGAAAAATGGAACTACAAGAAACTGTAAAAGTTCTGCACATGAAAGGAAACAATCAAAAGAGTGAAAGGCAACCCATGAAAAAGGAAAAACTATTTGCAAATTGCATGTCTGATAAGGGCTTAATATCCAAAATACAGAAAGAACTGCTATACCCCAACAATAAAAAGCCGAATAATTCAATTTGAAAATGGGCAAAGGACTTAAATATTTCTCCAAAGAAATACAAATGCCCAACAAGGATATGAAACGATGCTCAAAATCATTAATCATTAGGGTACTAAAAGTCAAAACCACAATGAGATATCACCTCACACCCTTTAGGAGAGCTGCTACTAAAAAGTAAACTAGTGGTTGATGAGGATATGTAAAAGCTGGAACTCTCTGCACTGCTGGCAGGAATGTAAAATGGTGCAGCACACAGAAAACCGATATGGCTGTGCTCCTTCTGGTCACATGCAAGAGCACTCAGAGCAGGATCTTAAGAGGTACTTGTATGCTCAGGTGCATAGCAGCAATACTCAAATAGCCAAAAGGTAGAAGCAATCCAGTGTCCAGCAACTGGTGAACAGATGAGTAGAATGAGCACACACATATAATAAAATATAATTTAGTCTTGAAAAGAAAGGAAATTCCGATACATGCTTATAACAAGGATAAAACTTGAGGACATTATGCCAAGTGAAATAAGCCAGTAAAAAAAGACAGTGACTGCACTTATTTGAGGTATCAAGAGTAGTTAAATTCACAGAAACAGAAAGTAGAATGGTGATTTCCAGAAGTTGAGGGAGGGAGATATGGGGAATTATTGTTTATCAGGAACACTGTTTTGCAAGATGAAAAAGTTCTGGAGATTTGGTTGTACACAATATAAATATACTTAGCATTGCTGAACTATAAGCTTAAAATGGTTAATATGGAAAAGTTTTATGTGTATTTTTATAATTGAGGGAAAAAAGAGGTTTTGGTGGTACTGGGGGTTGAACTCAGGGCCTTGCACTTACTAGGCAGAAGCTCTACCACTTGAGCCACTCTGCCACCCCAAAAATTTTTTAATAAAATGAGACTGTAAAGTAATGACACTAAATGTTTTTGTAAAATTGATGTGTCTTCATTCTCAGTAGTCACACACTGCAACTACTAAAACAAACAAAAAGATTCCCAAAAGACCCAATCATTCAAAACATACTGAAAACACACACTCTGATAATTTTTGTGTGTGTGTGTGATACTGGGGATGTAACCAAGAGATCTGAGCATACTAGGCAAGCACTACCATTTGAGCCAGGTCCTCAACCCTTTTGTTTTTGAGACAGGGTCCCACTAAACTGTGCTCAGCTGGCTCAAAATCGAGATCCTCTGCCTCCCAAGTAGCTCCTGTCTAGGCGTGTGCCACCGTGCTCAGCTTCTTTGGCACTAATTTATGCTTCAAGCAGAAATATTAATTTCTTTCTAATATAGTAATTTTAAAAGAAAACTGAGACTATCACCTTTGAATGATAAAATTAAAAGGCCTCCTCCATAAAACTTTTGGCTATTTATAAAAATCAAACCATCTTTTGGCACTATTTGTTTAATGAATGTGTTGTCATAAAGGCAATTTCAAAATTAGACTTTAAAAAAATCACTTACCAAGCCAGGTGCTGGTGGCTCACACCTGTAGTCCTAGCTACTCAGGAGCAGAGATAAGAAGGATCATGGTTCAAAGCCACCTGAGCAAACAGTTCACGAGATCCTATCTTGAAAAAACTCATCACAAAAAAAAAGGGCTGGTGGAGTGGCTCAAGGTGAAGGCCCTGAGCTCAAGACCCAGTACTAACACCAAAAAAAAAAAAAATCACTTATCAAAATTTATCTTAATTGAACAGCTATTATTTCACCATTTAACAGTGAAATGTTTATTATATATACATATATAAAACTGTAAATTAATATTAAACTCTAGTTAAAGTTTGCTTTCCACAATGGTATGAGTTAGCATTCTGAAACAATTTTACAGGCATTCTAGGCATGAGCAAATAAGTATACTGATGTTAGTGGGAACCAGGCTTTCATTTAGAAAAGAGAATTACAAATATCAAAAGGGAGAGGACTACAGAGTACCCTGTGGTGAGACTAGAACCAACAGTGTCATATGAACTCATGATTTGATACAGATAAAACAGATCGATGAAGAAGTAAAAGTACTTCCATGCATGTGTATGTGCAAGCTGTGCTATATGTGCATGGATGCGCATGGTACACATACTCATACACACCAATACCCAGCTTTGAACCCTTCTGAGGTAAAAGCAATGAGTCACCAGTAGCAATCAGCATACCCATCATCAAGGTCTTGGTTTCAAAATGTAGTTCTCCACTAAAAGGAACCAGAGTTCCTTGTGTGAGCATCAACTAAATTGGGTCATTTCTGTCAAAGGGCTAGCTCAGGTGGTAGAGCATGAGACTCTTAATCTCAGGGCTGTGAGCACCACACTATGGAATATGGAATAGCTCCTGCCTAGCTAATATCATTGTGTGGACATTAGCTAATTTCCCCAGTTGGCTGTGTGCTCTGTGGCACATCACCTAACTCTGTTTCTGCCTTCAGCAAAGAATTGTTTGTCATCATCAGATGTCCTAACCTCAAACTTCTAGTTTTAAGATAACCACTGTCCAAAGGAATTTATACTCTCCCATCCCAAGGTCTCCTTGACCCTCAGGTTAATTATATTCTTGTGTTGCCATTTCAAGTCAAACAGTCACTTCCGGCCTCAGATTACTGGAATCCTAGAATTCCGCACCTCATGGGTCGCCCTTTGTCTTTGTGTACACCAACCAAATTAAGTTTCATGTTCGTGCTCTCCAATCATGTCTGCTCTTCTCTTCCCCAAACCCCAACCTTAGTCGATCATTAAGACTGAACCCGAGCTCCCTCGTAAGAACAAGGGGGCAGTCCCTTGTTAGGGATAAAAACTGAGGCAGTCTTTCCACCCCATGTGCTTGCTTGCCTGACTCCAGAGGCACACTCTTATGCAGAAGTAAATTTTGCCTTGCCTATCAACTTTCGAGCATGTGATTGATTTGTGATCACGGCAGTGCCCCGATATTTCTAACACTTGGAGAAAGACTGATTCTAAGGCTCAGCAGAGAAAAATACAGGATGAATATAGAACATTCAGTTGCACCAAAAGAACGTGTTCAAAAAATGATGGGAACACTTCAAAAAGACATAGGAGCAAGCCTGAAGAAGCTCCCACTGGCCAGATGTAGGGCAATTTAAGCATTAAAATAAATACTGACAGACAAGTTTCAATTAGGTAGGCAGATGCTGGAAAACTGAGTCCATCAGGAGAATGACTTTCCTCTGGGAAAAGTAAGAGATCTAATAATTGGGCACTAGAATTACCATTCACTTCACAGAAGAAAGCACTCTAGAAAAATGAACCTAGTTGGGGGTCAAACATTCCAATCCACATCTTCATTGACTTACATCTGGGTTTTTTTGGTTTTTGTTTTTTGGTGGGACTAGAGTTTGAACTCAGAGCTTCAGGCTTACTGCTTGGGTCACACCTTCAGTCCCTTCTGGCTAAATATAGGAGGACTTCATAGTGAGGCCCCCCTCAAACCAACAAACAAAAACCCTAAAAAGAAATAAAGCATACAACTTTCCAAGGGGCTTATACAAAATAAGTTAGATGTCATTTGTGTGAAGAATTCACACAGCTGAAATGTCTTCAAAAACATTTAATATTGTATTCTCATCTTAGAAATAGTAACTTAGAAAATTTTTCTACTTCAGTAATTTTGGGACAAATCTGAGACTAGACATGAATCCTTTCAGCTCCTATATAAATATTTATACATACATAAATTTGTATGTGTGTTTAAGTCAAGCCTCCATCTCCCCACAATTAATATGTACAAGACTGTTCAAAAAGAAAAATACGGTGACTTTTGTTGGTTAGCACAAAAAGAAATAAATTTGGTAACAAAAGAAAATGCATAGGAATTTGAAAGATAGTTACATAAGTAAAATATATTTTTCCCGGGTTTTGTCAAATATCTTTTCTCAATGGATAATTTGCCTTATGGTATTATAATAGCTGCATTCCCAGCACTGTTCCTTTTAATATAAAACAACCCCTGTTCCTACACTGTAAATTTTAGAATATGTATACATTCACTTTTTCCTAAATCTCAGCCTCCAAATGTTAAATACCACCTTCTTTGCAGATCGGAGCTGCACAATTAAGACTCTGAAACTTAGCTCTTAATAATATTAGGGCCTCTCCTCAGCAACAGAGACCTCCTTGGCAACCTCAAAGGTTCACATGGACAATCCTGAGATAATGCACTCTGAAGACAGATGTTAGGAGAGTAGACCTCTGTTCTTTCTGGTGTGATCACACTGAATAAAACTCCTTTCCTGTCTTCATAAATAAATAAATATTAGGGCCAGGTTCCTCAAGCAACCTAAACTGAAGGAGAAATACCTTTAGGGAGAGAAATGTATTATAAAATAAAGATTTTATACCCAAGAGGCTCCTTATTCCTAAGGAGCACCTCGTTGTCCCAATATGCCACCAAATGTGTACTTTGTTTCTTAGCATAAAATTTGATTCTTCCATTTTTCCCCTGAATGTGTCTCATCTGTTTTTATAAATCTCATCAAATTCACTCTATTAAATACAGGCTGTTGAAACCCAAAGTAGGTTCTTCACACCTACAGTGCAAAGATTCCCTCAGGGGAAAAAAAGCAGTAATAGCATTCACACAAAGACAGAGACATGAAGTCACCAGTGCTGTAAAGCAGTGCTTGAGGAACAAACAATGATCCAGACTCATTTCCCACTCACACCATTAAAGAACTGAAAGAATTTACACGAAGTCTGAGCCCCAAGGCAAATGCCAAGTTCACATGTTTTGTATTACCTGGATATTGCAGCTTTTTCCATTATTTCCTGCTGAATGAGCCCAGATGGCTCAATGACATCCAATATAATTATGCTCCACAACTTGTCTGATTTGGGTCTCTGCAACACAGCAGATTCATCCTCCGCGTGTCTCAGCCAAAACTCAAGTGTTTCTTTAGGAAAGTGGTTGGCTTCAGATATGAGATCCAGAGTCATACGATGCTGGTCTTTCTCCACAGAACTGTAAGGCTTAACCTGTCCAAGTGTGCCAGCAATTAGAGGCAAAATAGAGAAGCCTTCAGACACATCTAACACATAGAAAGGCTCGGGGCTGCTCTGTCCAGTTCCACAGCACAGCTCATTACCCTGACACCGCGTCTCTGGGGTCAATGAAGACAACACTTTCCTCATTGCAGTTTGAAAGCCTTCATGATATGGGGCATTATTAAGCAACGCAATTTCTGTGGACTCCAGTACACATGTCTGCTCGACAGCATCGGGTTTACTGGTCTGAAGGTTAGCCAGGGCACTACAGAGGTCAGCCTCGTTTCCTAAAGACAAGTCTTTATTCTTGGTAAAAGTTTTTACAACTTCCATTTCATGTTCCATACCCAAGACATTTACATTCTGGATTCTTAAGTAACAGTCTTCACAAGACGCTTCCATTGTCACATGGTCACCAGGCTTTATCCAGTAGTCTTCATTAGTAAAAAAGAAACAATTTCAATTGATTAATTTGGGGTGCTTTAAGTGTGAGGTTCACGTAAACTCTTCTACCTCCCATCTAATCCCCTATTCTTTCAATCATTAAAGGAAAGATTACATCAAAAATATACAAAAACCTAGGAAAATCCCACCAGCTTTCCTTAGGGAAAAACTAAAATTTGAAAAGTCAACTAATTTGTAGCATAATGGAGTCAAGAGCTCCACGCTCCATTACTGAATCCTAAGACAATCAGGATTATAGTCGGCTTTTCTTTTTCTTTGAACTGCAGTCAAACACACCACCATGTCCCTACATTGGGGAGGATGGGAAGGTATTAGCGTGCTGCAGGTTGACTCCTATTGTCTTTGGTAATGAAGCTACTGAAAACAAACACAGGTGGGTTCTGAGTATTTCTTTCCTTTTTGGCCACTGACTCAAATATTTAGTGGATGAACTCAACAAGTTTAAAAAAAAAGCAAAACCAAACAAAAACTGGACAAGACCTACCTGCAAGGCCCTGCACGGGATAAACAGCCTGCTCCCAACAAGTTTCCTCACTGGGACTTGTGGATAAACTGTGCTCCTCATCAAGCTGGAGCACAAACCAAACCACAACCGCATCTAGAATTCCTTCTTTAATGACAGGAACTCCAATCTGGTCAGGTTTTCTTGTTGCAAGACTTTTTAATTCCTGAGAAGAAAGGTAAAAGGGATGAGAGGACTTTATACCTTGCACCTCTGCATGCCTCAGTATCATACTCCTCCATCTCTGAGGTTCTCAGTCCTGCCCGGCACACTGGGGAATCAGTATGTTGGCACACTATGGGAAGCTCTGAGTCTACAGGAACAGCATGCTGTTACTAAAAAGACCAGGGCAGATGTAAATTACTGGTGCAGAAAAGTCCAGAATATATTGTTGGATGACAAAGGCAAGTGGCAATAGGGATTATTTTGTTTTTTAAAAAAAGTTAGTGTAGAAATATGCACTTCAAACTAGTGATCTGGGAAAGAAGGACAAAAATTTAAAAAGCGAAGAAACATCCCAGAATTTTTTCATTTCTACTATTCTATATTGCTTGAAAGTGTTAAGCAGGCTTTCAAAATTAAAACTGTAATAAGAGCATGTGTGTGTGTATGTGTGTAAGAAAAATTAAAATGAAAACGACAAAACAAACACTTAAAAAAAAGCCAAGCCTAGTGGCTCACACCTGTAATCCTAGCTACTTAGAAGGCAGAGAGTGGGAGGATCACAGTTTAAGGCCAGCCTAGGTGAAAAGTCAGAGAGATCCCCACCTCAACCTGGGCATGGTGACTTGCTCCTGACACCCTAGCTACGAAAGAAGTGTGAACAGAACAGTAGTCTAGACTGGCCCAGACATAAACATAGGACCCAATTCAAAAAATAAATAAAGGAAGAAGGACTAGGGGCATGGCTCAAGTGAGAAAGCCCAGCAAGTGCAAGGCCCTGAATTCAAACACCATTACCACAGCAGTAATAATACGGAAGAGGAGCTTGGGGTGATCAGCAGCTGTAACTGTTATTTCCTATTGGTATGTTATGTCAGATAAGCAATGCTCTTGAAGTTCAAGCAACACCAAATTGTTCAATTAGTTGCAACCACCTGAAGAATAACCTTGTAACCAGCAATAGGGGTGGAAGGGCATTAGCACTAGGGTGAAGTAGCCTATAGAATTGCACATAACCATATATGGGTTAAACCTTGTTGTTGTTGTTTTGTTTTTTTTTTATTGCCTCTGTAACCTACTTGCAAGGGTACATAAGGTGAGACCCCTTTGTTCTCAAGGCTCAACCTTTGGACATGAGTCCACTGAGTCTATGCCGGCACAATAAAGCATTGCTTCCTCATCTCAGAGTCCTGTGTCTGTTCGAGTTTCCTATAAAAACTTGTCCTGCATTTCTCAAGATTAAACTGGTTTTAAAACTCAAAGTTTGGGTTGGGAGGTGAAGCTAAGTGGTAAGAGTGCTTACCTAGCATGTGTGAGGCTGTGGGTTCCATCCCCAACACCACCAAAAAATAAGATAAAATAAACCTGAAAGTCCTCTGTCTCAGGAACTCCTCTGTGCAACCAAAACGGGACAGTTGGTCAACCACCCTAATAAAATACAACCTTGAGATTTGGATTCTTGTTCATTTCGAGGAAAACTGTTAATTTGGGCACCAGTGGCTCATGCCTGTAATCCTAGCTACTGGGGAGGCAGAGATCAGGAGAATTGTGGTTTGAGTTCAGCCCAGACAAGTAAGTTTTCAAGACTCTATCTCAAAAATACCCAATACAATAAAGTGCTGGTGGAGTGGCTCAAATGGTAGAGCACCTGCCTAGCAAGCGTGAGGCTTTGAGTTCAAGGCCCAATACTACAAAAACAAACAAAAAAACTACAAAAACAATACTACAAAAACAAACAAAAAAAAGGGTAACATGACAAGAGCTTCCTAAGACACATATACAAGCACCTGGCACACTGTACATCCTCCAAAATCTTAGGGAGCTTTTCCTTTGTATTTAAACTAAGTGAATAATTTAAGAGAGAGGTCTAATTAATTACCCTTTAATCATTTTCTGTACCTCTAATAAGCAAATTATTATGCAAACTCATAACATTGTCCTACATATAATTTTAAACAATGTATGAAATTTAATGCTTGAAAATAATGATCAAGCTTTTTGTTTTTACCTGAAGATTGTTGAAGTCTACTGTCATAATTTCAAAGCACTCTGTCAAAGCCAAATACCCTCCAGGAACTCGACTCATCTTCTCAGTCGTGTAAGGCTCAACTGTTTCTTCAGTATCTACAGAATAAGCTGGACTCTGAAATTTCACATTTGTTGGCAAATGGATACCAGCAATGTCCTTAATACCCACTCTGGTGAGAGATGAAATACGAGAAGGTGGGGAGAAAGATGGGTTTTAAAAGAATCAAGAAGCACCTTCTAATACTGAGTCCAGAAAAAATAAATACAAAAATGAAGTAAAACCACATAGGCAAAGGTTTCTTAAATTATACATACAATGACATAAAGGAAACAAATGATACATAGGTCTATATTAAAATTAAGGACCTCTTCTCATAAAAGGATGCCCAGTAAGTAAAAATGCAAATCACTGAAAGAAAATATTCAAATATATAATTCAATGAAGGACTTATATCCAAACTACATTTTAAAATTCCTACAAATGAAAAGTTGCTTGGCTTCAGTTACTGTCTGGGTAATGAAGTAAAACCATCGTGCACAGTATACACCCCAGAAGAGGGAAATGAAGCTGTCAACACTGAGTGGAGGTGTATATTCAGTCCAGCACTGCTGGCAGGAGTGTAAAATTACTAAAACCACTTTGGAAGACCACTGCAGTACCTAAGAAGATGGACCTATCTAGTCTAGACTCACTTGACACAGCAACCTCACAGTGTTTAGCATCTTCACTTCTGGGAATACAGCAAGCAAATATTCATCCACATTGTCACTGAAATAGTGTTCACGGGACTGGAAGCATGGCTCAACTGGTACAGTGCCTGCCTAGCATGCACAAGGACTTGAGTTCAAACCCTAGTACCACTAAAAAAAAAAAATTCAAGAATGTTTTGTTTATAGCTCCACTGTTTCCAATAGCCAACTGATAAAACCTAAATGTCCATCAACAGTAAAACAGACAAATGTACTCTGGTATATTCATAGAATGGAGTATTATTCAGCAATGAAAATGAACAAACTATACAAAACAACATAGCTATGTTGGACAAAAGAAGCCAGATGCATGTGTGCTCACACATAAAAAATCATACTATGATTCTATTTGCACAAAATACAAGAGACAACACTAATGTATGGTGTTTGATGTCAGGATAGTGGCTACTCTCGGGGGAGTGAGGTTGTAGGGACTTTCTAAGGTGATAGTAATGTTCTGGTCCCAGATCTGAGTACTGATTATACAAGGGCACCAATTTAGTGAAAATTAATCAAATCACAAACTTAAGGTTTATGCACTTGCTATAAAATGTTCATAGGGTTGGGAGTGTGGCTCAAGTGGTGGAGGGCTGGCCTAGCAAGCATAAGGCTGAGTACAAATCCCAGTACTATCAAAAAGATTGTGTTCATAAAATTTACACTGAAAAAAAAAAAAAACACTTAGTGACTATTTTAGCAACACCACTTTATAAAAAGAAAACATTTCAGTATCACCTCAGAAGCATTTATTTTTTAGTCAATTTGCCTTCATAAATTTTAGAAGTTCAATTAGTCTCTTTCTAGAAATTTTTATTATACTCTCAAAAAAGTAAATCAAATGGAAATAATAATTTTAATAACTTAATTAAAAGTCACAAGTTATAGAAACACAAATTTAGATTATAAAATACAAATAAAAACTTATCACCAAAACATCAAATACAGCAAAAAATGAACATCCACCTTCACAGTACTCCTTATCCTATTGCTTAACTGTTAAGTTTGATGAGTACCTTCCAAATTTATAGACGAGTTTCCAAAGCATATATACTTTTTTAATACTTTGCTATTTGTCTTATCACTCCTTGTCTATTTTTCTTTTGTGCTGTTTGACAGTAGTTTGTGTTCACTATACCTATTATCCTTCAATAGATACTTCAATGAAATATTATTACAAATAAGGACATTCTCTTTAGTCACAGTACTGCTACCTTAGTATTTTCCAGTCTAGAATCTACATTCTAAGTTTGTCAACAGTCCCTTTCATCTCGTTTAATCTAGAATAGTTCATCTTTGCTTTGTCTCTCCTGACACTGACATTTTTTAAAAAGTTAAGCTAGTTATTTTACAAAAAGGCCCCAACTTGGGTTTGTCTGTGGTTACCTCACAATTAGGTACTGGTATACATTCTGGATGCAACACTATGGAAGAAAGTGTCCTCACCAGAAATCTTCCTAGTGATGTTAATTCTGATCACTTGGTAAAGATGCTGTGTGATTTCTTCTCTGTACACTTTCAATTTTCCTTCAATAATAAGTACTTTGCAAAAAAGATGCTTTAAAACTCTGTGATACCCTAACCCTCTCTAGATTTCCTCCCTGATTCAGCATCCTTTCATGATTCTTGCCTGCATCTTTCTTTACATGATGACTGCAAAGAGTAATTCTACACCGTTTCTCTATTATTAGTCAGCATTCCACTGTAAGATGTGACCTTTTACCCTATTTATGTATTTATAATCTATTATAAGTAGGAATTCATGGATCCTTATTTAATGGGTTTTGGTACTTAATTCATAGCCTTCATTTATTTTGGTTTTTAAATTATCCCAGACTTGGCCTGTGGAGACTCTTCAAGCATGCTTTTTGTGTCCTTTTAAAATGCCACAAGGTGGCATGAGTGGTGGCACACATCTGTAATCCCAGCACTCAGGAGGCTGAGAGAGGAAGGTGGCAAGTTCAAGGCTAGACTGGGTTAAACAGCAAGCCCCCTCTCTCTAAAAACCAAAAAAAATAATAGAAATGCCCCATGATTTTTTTTTTAAGCACTTCCTTACTTTCTGACACAAGATATTCCAGAAACATCTTGAATCCATCCTGCCCAGTCCGTGAAGCAGTCATTTCTGCAGAGGCTATAGCTTCTTTAGGTGAGCATTGCTGCTCCTAGGGTCATGCCTTGTCTTTTACACATACCAGGATACCATGAATTTCTTTTCTTTCTATGCGTGTACCCGAACTTTTTTGGATATTTGTACAATATTGCACTGGGTGACTGTTCAATCATAATTCATTGAAAGAGTTTCTTGTTGATAAATATTCAGGTAGTTTTGCGCTTTTTTTTTCCAATTACAGTATTACAATGAAACCTTTGCATACACAAGTGTTTGTCAGGATAGATTCCCAGAAGCAGCCAAAGATGTAGACATCTTCAGTTTTGTTATAAAATAAACTACTGAAATAAGTAGTTTCACTGAGCTACTAAAATGTACCAACAACGTATAAATTTTCCCCACATGTATGAAAAATAAGATATCATATATAAATAAGCAATCTGCTAATATAAGCAGTTAAAGATGTTATCCTATCAATATTAACTTCCATTTCTTTGACCAACAAAATTAGGGCATTCATGCTTTTTTTGGCCTTTTCAGTTTTTGTTCAAGCTTTCATGTGAAGGTGGCCAATTTTTACCTGTGTCACTTGTCTTAACTTTAGAGTACTGTATCTTTCATCACACTGATTTTTCTTAAATGTGGTCTAATTTGTCAATCTTTTATGGCTTCTGGACCCTATCCTGTATTTTGCTTTGGGAAGCCTTCGCCATTTAATGCAGTCTTTTATACTTATGTGTTTAATCCATCCAGAATTAAAAGTAGGGGATCAAACATTTTTCCTCAAATGAAATATATCATCTCAACTTTCTCCATGGATCTGAAATAGCACACCTATATCATATATAAGTCCATATAACTTCAACATCTATGTCTAGATTCCTTGTGTTTTGCTGATGTATTTCTCCTTACATCAAATACTGATTTGATGTCTATGTGCTTATCACTAAAAAAGGCAAGTTTCACAGTTCCTCAATTATATTCAAATACTTGCTTGTTCAAGTAAACGTAAGATCCAAGTGATTAGGTTCCAAATGATAATTTTTATAATAATGACTCTTAAATATTTCTACCAGGAAACAATGGAATAGCACTCACATGTATCTTTTCAGCACCTTTTGCTTTGTTTTGTGGCACTGGGATTTAAATTCACGGTCTCTCACTTTCTAGCCACTTGAGCCATCATCTCCCTGCTACTCACTCATTTTGCTTTAGTTATTTTTCAGCTAAGGCCTTACCTTTGCCTGGGGTCAGACTCAGACTGCAATCCTCCTGCGTAGGCTTCTTGTGTAGTTGGGATTATAGACACATGCTAACATACCCAGCTTTTAGGTTCAGATGGAGGGGAGGTTCCTCACTAACTTGTTTGCCAGGACTTGCCTGAAGCCACAAGCCTCCTGATTTCTGCCTTCTCAATACCTGGGATTATAGGCATGACCCACCATACCCAGCTTCCAGCACAAATAGTCTTCAACTTGCACTGCTGAACTTTGTAAAAAAGAAAACGGTACTGGACCTCACTCACGCAGACTTACTCCATCAGAATATATGGCATTTTCATCTTTACAAAACCCTCTAGTGTACAGTTGGCAACTGATCTGAAGTTATCCTATTTTATTATGGTAGGTACTAGGTACTTAATTTCTATTTTGCTTAAGTACACAATTTTAGTGGTTTTCCTATAAAACAAAGAGAGGAACTATCGAAGGCAAGGTGTCTAGAGTCACATTACAACAAGAAATCTCAAGGAGACACAACCCAGCTTTTCTACTAGGCAATTCAGCAACACATTTCAGTAACCTGAAAAGTGTATATCCCTTTAACTCAGTCACTTCTTACTAAGGAATTTATCCTAATAAAATAATAAGGAAGCAGGGCAGCAGTATTCTAGCACTTGGGAGGCTGAGGCAAGAGGATCATGAGTTCAAGGTCAGACTGACCTACATAGCAAGACACTGTCTTACAAAATGATAAAGAAAATAATAGACAAGTTCCTAAGAACATGATGTAAAGATGTTTATCCTGGTTCTTAAAAGCAGAAAAGTGGAAGCAGCCAAAAAATTCTAAACACATAACATTAAGAAACTGATTTTATTTTTTTAATATGTGCATACAATGTTTGGGTCATTTCTCTCCCTTCCCCCCCCCCGCCCCCTCCCTTACCCGCCCACCCCCAGCTCCCTCCCTTACACCCCCAAATCCCTCACTACCAGGCAGAAACTATTTTGCCCTTATCTCTAATTTTCTTGAAGGGAGAGCATAAGCAATAATAGGAAGGAACAAGGGTTTTTGCTAGTTGAGATAAGGATAGCTATACAGGGAGTTGACTCGCATTGCTTTCCTGTACATGTGTGTTACCTTCTAAATTAATTCTTCTTAAACTAACCGTTTCTCTAGTTCCTGGTCCCCTTCTTCTATTGGCCTCAGTTGCTTTAAAGTATCTGCTTTATAAGAAACTGATTTTAAAAATCACGAATCAAATCTATTAACATGAAGAGGTCCCAAAGAAAATGCAAATATATTCACTGATGTTTTTGAAACAAATTCATAAACTCACACATTTATTTACACAGGGCTAATGTGAGACCAGAACACGCTCATTCAGTCAGTCTGCTAATGAAGGCCATTGTCTGTCTGGTCCTGTGCTACACGTACCAATCTCAACATTGTTACTATCTCTCTGATACACAACAAAAAGATGAAGGAAGGACATATAGCAAAGATGATCAGTAGTTATTTACTACTGAGCAATCGAGTGATTTTTCCTTCCTTCTTTTATTCACCAATACCTTCTAAAATGTTTTTACGTCACATTTTACTACCGTTAAGTTACTATGGGAGAGGACTTCTTAGAAAGGTCTGAAATTGCATCCTGCCCATCTACTAGTCATTTTAATACTGAAGAGTTACCAAAAAAAGGATTAAAGCTGCAATCTATTTTCACATTGGAAATTCTTGTTCAAATTTCACCTAAAGTCAGTCTGAATGTACCAACTGAAGGGTACTATGTTGTACTAAAATTAATTTTCCATAAAAAAAAAATAAAATAAAATAAAATTTTTTTAAAGGCTAATGTAAACAGCATGAATTTAAAGGTCAAAAAACTACAAATGCTTACCCAAATAAATATGCACTAAATAACTTTTGAAGTATAGTACTTTTGGGAGTACTTTTTTAGGAGGGGTGGGTCTGGGGTTTGAACTCAGGTCTTCACTCCTGCAAAGCAGGCACTCTACTGCTTGAGCCACACCTCCAGTCCATTTTGCTCTGGTTAGTCTGGTGATAATATCCCAAGAATTATTTGCCCAGGCTGGGCTCAAACCATGAGCCTCCCAATCTCAGTCTCCCAAGTAGCCAGGGTTACAGGTGTAAGCTACCAGTACCCAGCCTACTTTAGGAAGTTTTCTTTTTGTGTTGGGTTTTTTGGTTTTGAGGTTTTTTTTTTTTTGAGACACAGTCTTGCTATATAGCCTTGGGCTGTCCTGAAATTTGCTATGTAGCCCAGGCTGGTATTCAACTTACAATCCTCCTGCTTCAGTGAGATTACAGTAGTATACCAACATGTCTGGCTAAAGTGCAGTATTATTAAAATTACTGTTTTGTAACATTACTATCAGTCACTTACCTATGATGTCTTCTTATCTCTGCACATTCTACCGCCATCCCAAATATAACAGCACTTGCTGGTATTACCTTCCCATACTTTTCACAATTACCATTTTCACCTTTGGTCTGAAAATGTGACAAGAAAAATCACATTATTACATATATACAAAAAATGTGTATGTAAAATGTATATGTATAAGCTTTGGTGATTTATAAGAAAAAATAAGTAAAGGCAAACGTTAAGTATTTTCATGGCTACGTATATATGTATATAGCAATGGATTACAGGTATAAAAAAAGTAACTTTTTTACAAGGTAAGTCTGCATAACAAAAGACTGAGGTGAGGTATGACTTTAATTACCTCTTGAATAATAAACAGTTCTTCTTTTCAACCTATACCTAACTATTTTAAATCTGTATCATTTTCTGTAAATGGTGAGTTTTTATTGCATGCTAAAACCTCTTCATTCATGATACATATTGAACATTTATGTATCTATGATCTGGGGGCTATAGCAGACTTTAATGCAAAATATAATAGCCTTGTCCAATCAGTAGCCTGGGCTCAACAGTACCTTAAACCATACCAAGCCAGCATAACTACACTCCCTTCTGATTATGTGCTGAAAGCCCTAGCGGTGAGGGCTGTGAAACTGAAAGTTAACCTCTTAACCTTTCCATGGTCAGTCCCCAGGCCACCTCAATTCCTGTGAATTCCTTCATCAAGTATTTTTTGCCTGTATCAACCCCTTTTGGGCACACAAGTGTACATTTACTATGTCGTTATTTAAATGTTTTTTCATGGTGCTTCTTCCATTTTTCCCACTTGATGGTGGGAAAAATATTTCTTATTGCTTTGCAAGTACTGTAGGGACTCAATAAATCTGTTGAAATAATGAATTCTTAATCAAATGTGTTTTTACGCTGCTTACCTTTGGTTGCAAAAGTAAATGCTCCCATGCATGAATTAAACTCTCCACAATTCCTTCTCCAAATAAACCTGCATCGACAGTTTCTGTTACAACTAGGGACACTCTATAGAATGATTTTTTAAAGATACATGTAAGTAAAATGTCATGCTATTTATATAAAGATTTCAAAGCTGAGAGAAGAGAGAAATGAAGAGTATGTTATAGAAACAGTCCACATGTAAATTTCTGTAATACATTTCATTTTGCTATCTTCCCCTGAATCCTGAGGAACTTAACTATAATGTTCCTTGGGCTCATCTGTTCCCTACTCGCTCGTGCTTGCATTGGGGCAGCGCACTGATAACAACCTCACTGGGCACTGATGCCTCCTCAGGCTCTTCTTGCATTACATCACCTAAGTCCTCAAGAGTGGTTCATACCCTTATCTTTCCCAGCCCCTTCCCACTCTAACACTCTATAAAAATACACTCTCTCATCAATGACTCCCCACTTATCAAAATGAACTGTCTTTCTCAACTGCCATTTTCTTAATCTATTAGTAACATTCAACACTGGTGAGAGAACCTCCCTCTCAACAATACGATCTCTACCTTCTGTGATTCTGCATTACCCAAGTTTGCCTCCTACATGTTGATTGTGCATCTCACCACTTCTCGAGTCTTCACAAAAGCCTATTCCACAGACCTCTGCTCTCCATCCATTCTTTCTTTCTCCAAAATTCTACTGAAGAGGCACCAAAATAATTTCTCCCCTCTCTGAACTTCTTAGTTACTGCTGCTAATGGTAACATTCATTTTGTAATCTAAAGATAAAAAACAAGTTTCAGCAGTATTCTTTATCTTCCCATCTAGATGGTAGGTGCCTCGTGGGCAAAACTGACTTTGGTATCCTCCACAATGCCTAAACCCAGTATTTATAATTTCAGTATTTGTAATTGCGTACATTTAGAATATGAACTGTATCTCACTTCTTCTAGTCTAGCATCTTAGTCTAGAGATCTGCTTAACAGTCAAATGAATTAACAAGATTCTGAACTGAAATTCATATGTCCTGATTCAAAGCTAATGGATTTTTCTACAACTTTATCTGTGAGAAAAATATAAAATGAATTAGAGCAACTTTTAATTTATGCCATAGGCTGAATTGTGCTCCTCACCCCAATTCTTACGTGGAAACCCCTAACCTCTAAAGTGATTATTTCTGGAGACAGACCCATTAGGAGATAATTAAGGTAAAATGAATTCATCAGGGCGAGTCCCTAATCCAATAGGATTGTTGTCCTTATAAAAGAATAAGAGACACTGGAGATCTTTCCCACACAAAAGAAAAGCCATGTGAAGACACAGAGAGATGATGGCTATCTTCAAGTCAGGAAAAGAATGCTCACTTGAGAAAATACTTGCCTATTGTGTAAGCCACACAGTGTGTGGTATTTTAAGGCAACCCAAGCAGACTAACACAATTCAGGATAGTGCTTTTTTTTCCTACAAAATGGGTAGATATCAACCTTAACAATCTAATAGATTTCTTTATGGAAACAAACGCAGAAAACACTGAAAAGTGTTAAGTACTATGCAAACAAATTATCTGTGGAAGACTTTTAAAACGCAGAACTCAAATTAACAACTGAGTACAAAAAAACTTTCAAACTTAAATTTAAGTATGATAAGATAGATAACCAAGAGAGGTTACAAAATAACTATTGTATTTTAAAAAGAAAGAAACCCTCTAAAATGAGAGTATTGACCAGATGATTTTTATATCCCTTCCAGTTCTCAAATTCCATTACCTTTATGATATGGATCACAATGTGATGATAAACTAAAAAGTCAAGACTTGCAGGATTATATTTAAGCATATAAAGGGCATAGGGAAAAACATATTGACAACTGGCACTTCCAAATATTTCATTTTAAACAAGAATATTAACGTGAAGTGTGGAAGCCCATTGACTCTGCTCGGTTCATGTTTTTTTTTGGTTTTTGTTTTTGTTTTTTGAGGGGAGCTGGTACTGAAGTTTTTAACTCAGAGCTTTATATACTTTGTATAGCTCTAGTACTTGAACAGTAGTTCTAGCTGTGTTTTGCTTTATTTTGGGGGTAGGTCTCACATTTTTGCCCAAGGACAGCCCTGAACATCAATTCTCCTATCAGCCTCCTGTGTAGCTGGTACCACAAGCAAACATGACTATGCCCAGCTTACTGGTTGAGACGGGGTCCTGCTAACTGTCCCCATCCCCCCCACCATGGGGCTGGCCTCAAACTGCAATCTTCCTGATTACTGCCTCCCAAGTAGTTGAAATTACAGGTGTGTGCCACTACACCTAGCTTATTTTTAAGTACAATTATTAAATAGCTATTGATCATACAGGATGTATTATCTATTTATAAATTAGAACACTGACATTAATTTAAAAAAGAAGTAAAATTACTTGCTGAAGGTCAAGTTTATTAAATTCCTTGACATAAACTTTTCTCGAAATCTTTTAATATTTTTATGAAGCATATGTTATTTCTTTCACTATATTATCTGATATCTGTATCTTTACAAAATAAGGGTTTAGCATTTTTGTTGTACTAGAAGCTAGAAATGTATCTTAAATTAAAAAAACAAAACAGCGAATTATAAACAGTAAAACAATTTTACGACATACCTTTCAGGAATGTGCTTTGGAACTTCTATGTCAAGTGACTTCATGTGGAGGAGTTTTATCCCTCCTTCCATCTTGTTTGCAGCCACTACATCACAGGCAAGTTCATACATGGTCTTGGATAACTCACAGGCATATACCGAGTATGCGCCAGCTTTTTTAGCAAACATGCTACAAAGGAAAAAAGTGCTCCATCAATAAATTAATAAATAAAACTCACTGTATTTTTCAAGTTTTAATGGAATTATGATGCCTTAAACATGGGTTTTTTTTCTCGTTCTCCACCCCAGCCCACTAGAGGTTGAACTCAGAGTCTCCTGCTTGAGCACACACTGCCAGCCCTTTTTGTGTTGGTTATTTTTGAGACAGGGTCTTTTCTTGCTTTATGCCCAGGCTAACTGGACGACAATCCTCCTGTTGTGCTTCCCTGCAATGCTAGGGTAACTGGTGTGCACCACCATGCCCAATGATTAGTTGAGATGGGGGGGTCTCATAAACTTTTTGCACGGGCTAGCCTCAAACACGAACTTCCACCTCCTACATAGCTAAAGTCACAGGCTTGAGCCTTCGCACCCGGTCTCTTATTCTTTAACACAATCATTAGTTGTTCTACATTGTTGGCACCAGCAAAAAAAAAAAAAAAATCACGATATGCATGCTACTATGAAGATACAAGGGACAAGAAGAATGCTGATAAGCTTTCTACATTCCACCAGAATAGTAATACAAAAACTACTCATAAAATTAATTATTAAGATTTCAGTAATAATCCCAAATTTTTCTTAGTTTTCTCCAGCTCTTGATAAAGCAAGTTACAGTGGAAAACACAATAATAGTAGTTGCATGAATAACCCTAACAAAATACGAAACTACTATTTTGAAATTCCAATGGCAAGTTTTTAGTACCTAGCAAAATCTGAAACTTACATCAGTAGAGATGTAAAGATAATTAAAAGCGATGACAGCAAACCTCAGTATTCCAGTTCCTGCTCCAATGTCCAAAACAGTTCTGGACCCTGCGCAAACCGCCTTTCGGATTGCCGCACTGTAAATCGCGTTCCTCCTGGCGTCGTTCAGCATGACGAAGTGCCAGCGTTCCACCAGCCAGTTTGCAACACGATAAAAATTTTCCTTTGCATCACTGAAATCAGGGTTTAGCTTCACTGCCTTATGAAAATACCCAGCTGCCTCATCTCTAAAGCCCATTCTAGAGTTCAAAAACACAAAGGAAAAGACAAAGCACAGTCAACTGTATGTACCAATTACGACGCCACCAACCTGGACCGGGAATCCCCCACCAGCACCCCACACCTCAGAGAAGGTTAAGCGTCTACCTCCCTTGGAAACCTTTCTGTGAGGACTGCTCTCCTCATGACTTCTTTCTTTTGTAGATCCCTATTTATTAATGTATCCCAGGACTCTGACAGGTACTTGAATGTAAACTGCTGTTGAGCTAAAATGTAGAAGCTCTTGTTACCGTCTCCGTCTTAAATGACTTGCGAGAACACCAGGTCTGTGGAAGGCTAGTCCCTCTGTAAAGCATACATGGCTGGGGCCCCTCTCCAGGGAGTGTGCATGCCTTTTCTCTCAGCAGCTGAGTAAATGGTAAGAGTCTTAACAAAGAGTCAGTTGAATCTGTTACCAGACTAGCTTATGCCAGTTGTACTGTCATCACAATTACATGTTTAAATTAAATACATGTAAAATCAATAAATATGACTCCAAAAAGAACTGGTATGTCTAAGAACACCTTAATTTTGGAAAAAATCAAAGGCAAGTCACTCAAAAATTGCTACTGAATTAAAATGTGAGCAAATCAAAAGTAAGCTGGGGGAAAACTATCAACCCATCTAGAGCAGAGCTTCTCAAACTGTCTGTGGTAAAGCACCCTTGTCCCTTTTTGAAACAACTAATTATTTGTAAGTCAGGATGGCACACTGCACCGGGCAGTATGCAGCTCACAGAACATCACCTTCCGGCAGCATCCATGTTGGTCTATGCTCCGTTCAACAGGAGAGCTCCCTACCACATGCGTGCATTCGCAGCAACGTCAAGTTGCTGTGTATCTTCTAAACGCACTCACTGTCTGCATTAACCAGTAACCTGTAGACCACATAATGAACAGAACTACGCTATTAGAACTCTTCTCACTCATACGTCTTCATAAGCACCTTTCAGCATTCTGTCCATTTTAAAGGAACTTAATTGGGCTACTCATTCTGGGTATGGTTAAGACATTGTGGCAAACAGGAGACCACACCCTAACAAAAAGCAATGCCATGTCAAATGAAAGACATTCATTTTTTAATATAAAATTAAAATGTTTAAGGTCAACATAGGCCATTCTTAACTTCTTATTGTGCCACTGCACAGCACACAGTAAAGTATGAAATACATTTGTATATAATCATAATTTGCTAAGACTTATTTACCAATGTGAATAAAAAATGTTCTAAGTATCAATGATCAATCTGTTGGATCAATGCCAAACCTTCTCCTAATTAATTTCCTGAGTTTGTGCTTCCCTTAAGATTCACATTTAATACATCATCAATTTTCTTAAACTTCAAAGCTAATTAAAAATATATAATCCACTCAACGTGTATCTTACATTCAAAGATTCAACATAGATGTCAATAATACTAATGGTCTACAAAAATGCCTCAGAATGTCTCTTTCATCTAGGAAAATCATTATCTTCGTGATTACCAACTTGAATACATTTTGTCTATATCTGATGCTATTGAACTAACAAAAGGTTGTAAAGTAGAAATGGTCCACTCCAAACACAAATTTTGTTTCATAAATAGATTTCAGGAGACAAAGTCATCATTTACTTTGGAAATCTTTCTCTCCTGGAACAGTGATTCTTTTAGCAGGAAGTGGCATGCTGTTTTTGATGAGAATAGTAGTATAGAATAACAACAACAAAAACCTAAGAACCATGGCCCTGAAGAATGAAGACAAACCGTGTAGCAAAACCTATACTCACACTAACATAAATTCTGAATTACCAATGTCTGAGTTAGAAATTTTGTTTAGTTACAGCTCCTCAAAGAAAATTAATGCCACATTTTTTGGCTCAGTAATTACCAACTACTTAGACTAGTATCACATAACAATAGGTCACCAACTATTATAATATGCCAAAAGTGTACACAAGTAGTTTCTTAGTACACTGAGTTTACCCTGAAACACAACCTTAAAATATTATGATTCCTACATGTGTATGAACTGGAAATATAACCAAATCCAACAGACTTACTCTACTTACATAAATGTAAGAACAACAGAAAAGGAAGAAGGGGTTTTGATGCCTGGTTCCAGTGTACTTAGGGCTTCTCCAGCACCAAGCTCCTTAACTGCATGGCAGCCAGCAGCATGCAGTAATGGACAGCCTCCCTCAGGACTTCACCCTACTTGTGGTTCTATAGCAGTGTGCCCTGGGTTTAACACTTCCCCATGAGGCTTTCTCTGGCATCCCAAAAGGCAACCCAGGTTCCAGAGAACAGATTTACAAGTTTCCTGGCAAGGTACCACGACTTCTCTGCCAGTCTGAACCACAGTTGCACCCTCTAACAAGGAACAGATCTCAAACTAGGGGAACTCTTCTGTAGATATTCTACCTCAGTCCTAGAACAGTGACTTTTATGTAGTATATGACATAGATTGTATTTTCTACCTGAAATTCTTTTGAGCTCTCCTTACTTACACTAGCTGATCTTTTATCACTCCAATCCCCTGTTACAGTTAATTCTGTATGCTAACCCATCTGTTCAAATGACTGTGTATAACCCCGTAGGGTGCTGCCTGTGTAGTCTCAGCTACACAGGAAGCTGATGCAGGAGAATCACTTGAACCCACAAATTTAAGACCAGCCTGGACAATACAGCGAGACTCTGTCTCAAAAAAAAAAAAAAAGCCAAATTACTGTATAATTTATTTATCCCTTATTCAGACCGGTACAGAATAATCCTTAACAAGTAACACTGAAATCACTACAAACCTGAAGAGATGTTCCCCCATACTATTGCAGATCACTTCATCATCAGGAAAGAGTTCCAAGGCCTGCTCATAGCAACCAAGTAAGTCTTGTATTCGACTGAGTGCATCAAGCTCTTCAGCCCATCTGAAAAGTGTATACTGAAAAGTTTCCTTTACAAATAAGAAAAAAGTGATTAGTCAGTAAGGATGAAGAATATACAACACCAGCTGAACATTCCAGAGGATGGAATTACTATTGAATGACCATCTTAAATTTCATTTAACTTCAGTATGCACTGTTTGCTGAATAAACATCTGCACAAATAAATTTCACCAACTAATGCCAATAATATGCAGAATCAGACAGAAAGGCCACTCTATAAACTTCTTCCTCTTTTGGCTGCCATATCTCACTGTTCTGATTCTCTCTGACCTCTTTTCTCGTGGGTCCCTAGGTTTCAGGAGTTCATCCTTGACCCTCTTTTCTTATCCACCCCAATGCACTAATTACCACCTACTTATGAGACTTTGTCTCCTATTCTCAGACTCATAAATACAGTTTCCTATTGGTCATCTCAACCAGGCAGGCACTGGATCCCCAGTCTTCTCAAAGTTAGCTCATTTTTAATATTTCTTCAGCAATCAATGCACAAAGAACTGGGACTAAAATACAATAATGAAAAGCATAAATTTTGTTCCTAACCTAACAGAGCCCTGTAAAAAGAAATTTAGCCATCTTAAAAAAGTTCAAATCTTCCAAACTGGCCCATTATATTCCTCTCACAGGATGTTAAGGTATCACTCAACCTGACACCACAAAGTCACCCTGTAATGGTACACTAACTCCACATACAATATTCCAAACACAGCCAATGTGTCACCTCCTCTCCATTCCCACTATATAACCTCATCTGACCCTTGTACCCACTTGCTGGAGCACAGCAATTGTTTTCTGCCAGCCTAGCTCTAATCTCTCTCCCTCCAGCCATTTTCCATGCCTCTACATTGCAAAAACACAGCAGACTTTAAACATTCCAGCTTTGTCATGAAAACAATTTAAATCATCTTTGCATACTTTACACAGAAGAGTATAAACTGAAACTAAATCTTGACAGAGTTTTCTAGAAAGACAAGGATAAAAGAGGTCTAGCCCTGGCAGGGTGGCACACGCCTGTGATTGCAACTACTAGGAAGGTGTTATGTAAAAGGATCAAGATACCAGCCCCATGAGGGAAAAAAGAAAATAACCTAAAGCAAAAAGATCTGGAGGCATGGTTCAAATGGTAGAGTGCAAGAATGAGGCCCTGAGTTCAAACCTCACTATCGCCCAAAATAAATAAATAAAAAGGAAGGAGATTCTAGGTTGTGTGAAGGAAAAAAGAGATTATATGAAATGGATGAAGGGCTCTACAGTATAGTAGCTTGGTGTGGCTGGAGTGTGTGAGTGTGAAGAACAAAGGGAGCAGCAGGAACTAAGATTTCTGCAAATGAGACTTTTGCAAAGAAATATGAATCGTGTTCAGCAAGAAACAGAACTAGTTACTGAACTCTACTGCGTGTGAGGCATTGCAATACAAATTTTACATATACTTTTTCCCCACTGCTGGGAATTGAACCCAGAACCTCAAACATGCTACCACTGAGCTACAACCCCAGTCTAATTTTACATACTCTTTTAATACACACTAAATATCAGTAAGAGACACACTGTCCCCCATTTACAGAAGAGGAAACAAAGAACTGAGGAAAGGACACCTGAGCTGATCCATTATTCTACAGCTGCCTACATACAGAAGAGGAAACATCTACCATCATCTCCTCATGCAGTAGACCAGTAGGTCCTGAAACGTATTCTAAATTTACCAGAACTAGTAAAGTCTAGATGCTACTGACATCTAGCGGGGGAAGAACAGAGATGCTGCTAAATAAACATCCTACAATACACAGGACAGCATACACACTCTCAAGAAATTATCCCATCAGAAATGGCAATAGTACTGGAGTCCAGAAACCCTGGATGAAATAAAGTGAAATAGCCTGCAGCTGAAAGCTGAATATGAAACTAAATGAAATCATTTTTCGAAATTCAGATTCTGAAACTACTGGAAAAAATGCACAGCTTTGCCACAGAGTAACTGTTACAAATAATCACTGAAGCTTAGAGACACATCTTCAAATAATGATTACTGTAGATTAATCGTACACTGGTCAAAGACATACTTCCTACATACAATATGTACAATTGCAAAGGCTCCAAGGAAGGACGTGCTTAAATAAGAAACAGGGAGAGGGACAGGCTTACCCTGCCGCCTCATTTGCAATTCGAGGCCCTTCGAAATTTTAAGTGAAATGGACATGAGATCATTTGACTTTTGCTATAAAAAGCTGGCAGTGTAGAGATGGACTGCAGGAAGGAGCCCCCTAAAGAACCTTTTCCAAAAGTCAGCAGATGACTGTGGTTTCAATCAGAGCAGTAAACGAGAAAGTGGTGAAAACCGGACATAAGTTTGAAGGTGGAGCCAGCAGAATTTTTTGCTGGATTGTCGTGAGTCTGAATAAATTAAGGAGTCATGGATGCACAGTAAATATTAATAAATGCAACCACCAGTCACTGACCTAGGACCCCCTTTTAAAAAAAACTTTTTTTACAAAAACGGAGGATTGTGGCAGCAAGCTAGAAAAGGAAGTACCCTCACCTTCACGTCGTCTTTCAGCTCCGGCGCCAGGCTGAGCACCAGGAGGTAATGGGCATAGGCTGTGCCGAAGTCCTGGGCGCCCAGGCAGTGCTCTGCGCTCCGCAAGGACCGCGACACCAGCTCGTCCCGGCCCGCGGTCCCCGCACCGCCCCCGGCGCCCCGGCGGGACCTGGGCCTAGGCCGAGAGTTCGGCATGGCCGCGTCACCGTTTGTGTGAGCCCAGGGAAGATAAGATGGCTTGGATAGAGGAGATGACGATACTACAGGTCCATGTGACCGACCACCGCTCCAGATGCACCTGGGGAAAGCTGTCTGTCGCAGGTGAGCGCTCCCACCTACGCCCAGCCGGAAGCCCCGCCCTCTCCTTGGCAGGAAGCCGGCGCACAACGCGCAAGACTCATCCGGCAACTGCGGGCTCGGGTGGACGGCGCGCGCGGTGATGACGTCGGCGCGCACGACGTCACGCGCACGTCGCCAAGCGCGCGGTTGGCCATTGCGCGCGCGTGAGCGGAGTTCCTGGGACTCTGCCCTTTTGATGCAGGTTTTTACCCCGGCGGAACCCAACAAGAAGAGCTTTCTGTCTCTCTTCCCTTGCTCCTAGGAGGGCGTGACTACGACTAGGAGCCCCTGCTGTGCAGATGCAGCCCGCGCGGACGCCAGGCCTGGTGGTTACGCTTGTGTTTGGATCGCGATGCACCAATGCCACCATCGCAAGCCTGGAATGAGCACGCGGATAAAAAAGAAGAAAAAGCCCTTAGATACATCCCTGGTAGAGAATGTACTTTAACAGGCATTATTTTAAATCATTCTTACAAAGCCCTGTGAGGTGGACCTCTGGGTCACACTCATTTTAGAGAAGCAAAAGGTGACAATCCCCAGAAGTACTTTGGCAAGGCCACATAGCCAGTTAGTGGCATCGCTATGGCTCGAATCCAAGTTTCCTGATCACCTGTTTACATTGATACAGAGAAAGTTTATTCAAGTGTGGCCCCTGAGGTATAAATTTGAAACTTGAAAAGGGGAAAGCGGCGTGGGAATAGCAACTTAAAATACGTTATTTTTGTTCCCGTTTTTAAATGTTGATGATGCAGATCTTAGCAAGAAAGGAAAACCAGAGCATTGTGCATGGCAAACTAACACACTTCAGGGGTTCCTCCGTCCTTTGCATGCCTTTGCCTTCTCTTTTGACCTGATAATCCCATTCACACTTCCTTCTGCAGGATCCAGTCCAGTAGTTTGTGACCTGCACCCACAGTCAGAAAGTTCCCTAAGGACAGGAACTATTTTTAATACTTTAGTATGGTGCAAAATAAGGACTTCATATTTTTCTAAATTTGATGGAAAGTACATCTTGCACTCTTAGCTTTTACTTGTGGACTTAACCAAATTCATTTCCTTATTTAATTCCCATCCTAAATAGCTTGTTCCTGTACTAAACGATGTAGGGCTTAACTATATGGTATTTCCCTAACAATACTGAAACATAAGGCTCCTATGTACTTAGTAGGACTCAGTAGGACAGAAAAAGGCCAATAGACTTAAAAAAAAAAATTTTGTTCTACTCCAAGCTTGGTCCCTTCTAGTTCATCTTGCAGCCCTTCCTTAAGACGTTATTTATAAAAAAGATCGAATAATGCTACCTTTCCTATTTTACTCTTAAGATTACCAGGACTGCTGTGCACCGGTGGCTCATGGCTGTAATCCTAGCTACTCAGAAGGCAGAGATGGGGAGGATCCTGGCTCAAAGCCAGCCCCAGGCTACTAGTTCATGAGACCCTATCTTGAAAATACCCAACAGAAAAAAGGGGCTGGTAGAATGGCTCAAGTGGTACAGTGCCTGCCTTGCAAGCATGAAATCCTGAGTCCAAACGCCAGTTCTGCCCAAAAAAAAAAAAATTACTGTGACCATCAAATGAGATAATATATAAAAGCATTTTACATGTAAGCTATGTACACTGTTAATGCTATTCATTGTTATCGATAATCATTTAGAAATTGTCTGGATTGTTAAAAATTGGTTACTTAACACCTGCAAGTATTTGATCAGGCATATATACAACCCATGTCCTTTAAAAGTGAAATGAAACTGCTTTCCAGAAATCAAAGGAAGACCTCCTAATCCTTCTCTACAGAGATTTGGGGTGGAGGAGAAATCACAAAGACTTAATTGTAGTCACTTCAGAGAGTCCCTGCTTCAGTAGAATTGCTTCACTTTACCAATTACCTTGTTCTACAGGGCAGGCTCTCCCCTTCTACAAGGGCAGGGTTTCTTCTCTTATTTTGTTTTGTTTTCTGGTCTGTTTGGTTTATTGAGATAACCCAAGTACCTAAAACACCTAGATAATATGAAGATTAAAGTACACATATTTCCAACAAGACAATGTAAACTAAGAGAGAGGGGAGAGAGCTGGCAGGAAGTGGAGAGAAGGCAGAGAACAAATAAGGGAAGTCAATTTCCATTATTTCAACCATCACAGTAGAACCTGTGGACAATGACTACAGCTAAGAGGAGTAAGAGAGGCTTCCTGCCCCTTGTAAAATACTTGAGGTAACTTTGTGAGCTACCAGGTCCCACTAAGATAAAAGGTGATTGAGCTAGAAAAGAAGGAAAGCCCAGGTCATTTACATTTCTTTGTAGAATATAGTTGGGTCAACAAGCTCAAGAGGTAAGAAGTTAAGAGGGCAAGCATTGAGGCCCTGAGTTCAAATCCCAATACTGCCCCCCCACCCTGCCAAAAAAAGAAAATAGCTGAAAGACACTGTCTACAGTAGACCTTTTGCAAAAATGGAACTGACAGAACATCTGGTCTGAGTATTTGACTACTCTTTCTCTTATTACTTCAGTCCTAATTGATACTGGGAATTACTCAAGATTGTTCCATTTCTGTTGCAGATTGACTGTTGTAATTACCTTTCAGTACTTTTATAAGAGCCCTATATTCCACTACAAAGAATCCAAAAGTACAGTGTAAAACAAATGTAGACTATACATTGCACTTTTTAAAATTCTTTTTGGGTCTGGGAATCGAAACCACGCCTTGACCATGCTAAACTTACGTTATACCACTGAGCTGCATCCTCAATCCCTACTTCTTTTTTTTCAGTACTAGGGTTTGAACTCAAGATCTTGCACTTCCTAGGCAGACACTCTACCACTTTAGCCACATCCCCAGTCCTTTTCACTTTAGGTTATTTTCCAGATAGGGGCTTGCACTTTTTTCCCAGGCAGACTCAGACCTTCCTACACCTCCCTGTAGCTGGGATTACAGAGGTGGGTGTACCACCACACTTGGCGTATTTGTTGAGATGGGGGGGTCTCTCACTTTTTATTCCTTTTTGTTGGTGGGGGGCCCCCCTCAGGGCAAGCCTCAAACTGTAATCCTCCAAATTGAGCCTCTTAAGTAGCTGGGATTACAGGGCATGAGCCACCATGCCTAGCTCTACTCATTTTCCTTAATCAGTGATTACTTTTTTTTTAAAAATTGAAGGCATCACTTCTTTGTTCACAGTAGCTTCTTCCCTTCGACTGAACTATTATCTTCAACTACTTTTAAGCTCTGCCTGACACATTCATTTACATGCTCTTTTTCACCCTCTTTTAGGGTTCCAAGAAAAACATTGATGTAGAAAAACATTGTTAAGCAGAGGCTGTTTTCATTGTAGTTGTCTTTCACCATATCTGGGCAGCTTGTCAACAAACCACACATGACAAATAAGAAAGACAAACCAGGGCTGGTAGAGTGGCTCAAGTGGTAGAGCCCTGCCTAACAAGCACTACCAAAAAGAAGTCAAACCATCAGAAAGACTCTCAGTTAAGTTTCCAATAAGCAAAAGTTGAAGGTTAAGAGGAGGTTAAAAAAAAAGCTCACTGAAAGATTATTAAGAAGGGACCAACTGGATGCAATAGCCATAGCTGTCATCCGAAGCTACACAGGAGGCTGAGATCAGGAGGATCATGGTTCCAAACTAACCTGACCAAAAAAAAAGTTTGAGAGACACCATTTCAATGGAAAAAACCTATGTGGTGTCACACACCTGTTATCCCAGCTACACAGAGAAGCATAAAATAGGAGGATAGTGGTCCAGGCCAGCCTGGGCAAAAACCAAGACCCTATCTTTGAAATAACCTGTGCAAGAAGGGCTGGAGGTGGGGTAGAGCACCTGCCTAGCAAGCCCAAGACCCTGAGTTTAAACACAGTACCACCAAAACAAAATTGTGAAGATTACACTGAGCATTACGGCCTGTAATCCCAACACATGAGAGTCTAAGGTAGGAGGTTCTTGAGGTTAAAAGCAGCCTGAGCTGCATAGCAAGACCCTGTCTCAGACCAAGAGAAAGGAAGGAGGGAGAGGAGAGAGGGAGGGAGGGAAAGAAGGAAGGAAGGAGGGAGGAAGGAAGGAAAGAAGGAAAGGAGGGAATCATGAAGATTCAGCTAATTCTTTGGAATTGAAGTGATTGTTATATGAGGAATAGAATGTTCGCCATACTGAATTACTTGTTGGAGAGAAATTTTTATAATTGGATCAGTGAACATTGACAAACTGAGCATTTAAATGCTCATTGATGCATTCTCATGGTTAAATATTCTAACAATATATTACAATATGTTGTTAGAATATAAAATTTTAATAATGGCTGGTTCAATGCTTGGTTCAGAATCTGTGTACACAAAGGTGTGTCATAATGTGACAGCAGAATTCAGAGGATATGTAAGGGAAGGATCCACTTACAGAGTGTGACTCTGCACCAACTACCATACATGATTCTGGACAACCTGCCTAGATCCTGTGCTGTAGATGCCAACAAAAGTGTTGGTGCCAGGGGTAGAGGACAAGAAATCTACACAGAACGTCTGCTAATAAAGCACCCAGGAAAATGCAAAACCATCATGGAGCAAAGAACCTCAACTCTATTCTCCTCCCTCACCCCCATTCCTCATTAACCACTATTAGTCAATATCCCAGAAGGGAAAAAACTTAAAAGTACTTAATTCAGACTCCATAGTGCAGGGAGGAAAACATATTAGAAGGTAAAGGTGATCAGTTAAGGGACTGTGTTTGGGATGCCACTGGACATCAAGAGAAGACATCCAGTGGGAAGGTAGAGGTATAGAGTAAGATCAGCTTTAGAAGGAGGTATTTGTAGGCTTTAAGTACGTTGGCAAGTTAAAATTGTGGAAATGTGTATAAAAGGTGGAAATGCACAAACCTAAGTATAGAATGAGTATGAGGGGAGAGCAGCATAGCCTACTCTGAAACTGGGGGTGGAAAACAGTAAGATGCTGAATAAGATGAATTGCTTTACAGAAATGAGCAGTTCTAAGAAATGGTTTGTAAACTACTTGCCAATAGAACAGGATCTCTCATAAA